CCTATCCACCATGCCACCAGTGCTCCTAATTCAGCTTCTAGCAAAATGATGTCGCAACTATCCAGGTAATGCTTGTCCTAAGGTATGAATACAGTTTTGTTCAAGAAAAAGTGAGACAATAAGAAACTCTTTTAATGAACAAACAACTCTCACAAAGACAATCCATTATCACATTGTTAATACAACACATATGAGAGGAAACTTTTTTTGTACAGATTTTGATGAAGGGAAATTCTAAAAAGAAAACAAGCATATAGAGGTAGTTGATAACAATATGGGGAGGGGGAGCATTATTTTAATTCCCCTTCATTACAGTGCAAGAGTAAAATGGCTGCTTAACACACAAATGGAATAACACAGAGAGACACATTTGCCACTATTTAAATGGCTTACTTGATATTTGAATCCTGGCATTACTAAGAAATTGCAAAAAAATGATGAAACTAGTTTACCTAAAATAAGCCTATGATGCCGCATCAATCTTTTTTCTCTTATTTCTTTCCTTTTTTTGTTGTTGTTTATTGTCATTGCTGTGACAATAACTATTAAACAACTTTTTAAGTGACGCATAAGCTACAATGTTGGTTTGTAAACTTCAGTTAAACATGTTGGCTATGAAAAACTTTTTAAAACAGCTAGAGAGTATGGAGCAAAAGCTTGAAAATGACAACCAGGAGTAGTGATTACAGGCACTTCTCTCTGAAAATTAACTTGGTGTGTTTAGAAACACCCATTTGTAACTGAATATTTCTTCATTGAACCTCTGGATGTGTGTAACCCAGACTATTTTAATAGTTGAACAGTGTAGTCATTACTTGGACAGACATACCATTCTAGGGTGGATTGAACGGGTACATTTTACATGGCTTTTCCTTCCTTTTCACTAAACTTAAGATGGGAAAAATATGGGAACCCATCAAACTGGTTGCTTTTCATGACTGCCTTCAATTCATCATATATCAAAAACCTCCTTCCTCAGGCCCAAGACTGGGCTGAAAACCTGCCCTTTCCCAGTATTTGGGCCTTCATCCATATAAATCTGTTAGACAATTCTACTATTATTTTGCCTCAGTAAACAGAAATGGATGTGAAGTCAACATGTTGGGAACTCAAGGAGTCCCTGAATAAAACTCCCATCCTGAAAATGGAGTTAAGGTGGGATTAATAGTCCCCAGTGGATTATAGTCCATCAACAGTACTCCGTCTGTTGACAGTAAGAGACCTCTGGATGCTGTGAACTTGCCTCAGAGCAACACTGCTCCAAACGGCCAGTCACAGGGGATTATCTGAGCCCAGGTCAGCTCTACAGGCAGAGCTGCAAGTGCCACAGGTGTAGTGTCTTGACTAGTCCCTTGGTGCTAAGGCAGCCTGGGGCTAGAGAAGCAGCCTGTCTTCAGAAAAAGCAAACTGTTGAAATAGTCAATTCCCTATCCCTGCTAAGTCAGGGCCAAGCACTTTTTCTCCAAGTTGTCCACAGAAAATTAAACTTTTTTGTTTTTCAGTTTCTACATTTTGCTGGTTATTGGCTAGCAGCAGTAGTACGGTACAAAGCAGAAAGGCACAGAGTCTGCCTGGTACCTGGTTTTGAAACACACACACAAACACACACACAGAGTCACAAAAAAACCTACTAAGAAAAGATTGGGCCAGTCAAGATAAACGGGAAAACTTACCCAATAAATGGCACAATCTAACAAGGAAGGGGGCAGTATTGTCCTTCTGGCAGATTATTTCACTTTTGTGTCTTTTCAAGCTGTGCAGCAAAACTAATTTACAAATGGTGAGAATGTCCCTGTTCAAGTACATCCTGAAGAAGGCCAAGGCTTAACCTGATCTGGTGTCATACCACCACCAAGTAAAGCTGTGTTCTAAAACAATCCAAATGTATATAAGGCTACCAAGAGAGTAGAGGTTAAATCTGGCTGCTCAAGATCTCAATTTACTAAATGAAGCTGGCGTCTCCCTTCTCAAGGCAAAGCACTCTATGATACGGAATTTTACTAAGAAAACCAATCTCCTTTTCTCCATATATTGGCAGAGAGAGTGGGGGAATTTTATTTTCCTGAACCAGAAACATCCCATTGTGGGTTCCTGGGATTCTTTGGTGAGGTTTGGTCACCATGCCTGTTTAGTAAAACTATATGTAATGCAAACTGTTTCAAAATAATGAAAATCTGAAAAATTATTGGCTCAAAAACAAGTGTGGCCTAGAACTATGTTACCTGGGCAAATTGTTGTACTTTGTAAAACATCAGGTTTTTTACATCTATAGTATGCACATCATAGATGCTCTCACAGGGCTGATATGAGAAATATTTAATGAGCCTCCATACATGAAGTCACTTATCCTAACACCTGGGATATAACAGGTTCTCAATAGTATATTTTTGCTGGATCTGTTAACTTTGGACATTTAGGGAATACCATGAACTAGGAACAAAAGTCCACAACTAATTAATTCACTGTGGCATGGTCAAATGAGCATCAACACATTTTGTAGAACAGGGAGTGGAGAGCTGCTTTTCTAGAACTAGGACTTTCTCCCCTCTGCTCATTGCCATAGAGTCAGAAGTTAGTGCTGACTTTCGGGGAGGGGGGCGGGTATTCAGAAGTTACAAATTGTACAGGAGGAGAATGGCCAAAAAGGCACTGGTTTTGGATAAGCTCAACTCCCTAACGGGCTATGCCACCAAAGATCCCTTCACAAATCCTAGACTTCCAAATAAAACTGGGGTTTAGCCTTACAGAGATTGGAGAAATTTGGAATTGCCACTTTCCCAAGCAGTCATCAAATCAGTAGTGTGTGCTCACCTATTAAAGACTGAAGAGGATTGGCAGTCGGTACTGCATTTTGTAAAGGCAATGCTTTAGGGAAAATATAGGCCCCTGATGATTGTCTGCAACTATGGATGACCTAATTAATAACTATCACACATTGTGTATCTCCTATGTGCTAGGCACCATGCTAAGAGACTTACATATACTATCTCACTGAATGTTTCACAACAGCACTAGGTGCAAATTTTATCACTACCACTTTACAGATGAGGAGAACTGGGGCTCAGGGAAAGATCATTTAGTGTTTGTGTATGTCAGCACTTTGATACTGTCTGGATTATCTTCACTTTTATTTTTCTGTTTCTGTGTGGTGATGGAATAAAGCAGACTGGAGGCATTTACCTCTCACTTGCCTAGGCAGAGCACATGGGCTGTGAGGGACCATCGTTGCCTTTATGCAGCATCAGATATGGGGATGATCATTTTGGCCCCAGAACAAACAGCCCAGTTAGCTTCTTCCCTGCCCTGGTCTCTTGACTCTGTCAACATAACACTTCCACAATCACAACAGGTTTTTTTTTTTTTTTTTAGGTTCTAGCGCTGAAGGAATTAAGTGTGCTCTAAAAAAAAAAAAAAAAAAACAACCAACACAACACACCAAACAAACCACCAAAAACCACAAACTCATTGCCACTGACTCGGAATTGACTCATATGGCTGACCCTCCAAAGGGTTTTCAGAGGCTTCAGGAGATTGCCTATCTTTCTCCTGTGGAGCAGATGGTACATGAGAATCTACCAGAGAGGTCCTGTCTTTGGATTACCAGCCAAAGTCCCTACAGACAAGACCACCAGAGCTCCCTAAGAAAGCATGCTCTACGAATGTGAAATAAGTGCTTTCTGTTACCTCTTTACCCTCTCTTCTTTCCTTACATGAAAATCTTTGGCCCCTTGAAATCAGGAGAAAAGGCAGTGTTTAGATAAAATGGAGTTAACGGTCTGGTTCCCTTACCAAGATTTTTTTTAAAGGTTCTATCCTATCTGGCTTCTTTACATTTTGAAGTCCAAATAGTCCTTCATAAAGTATTTCCCTTTATGTTAACCCAGGTCTTCATACTCAGAATCCTGAGAAGAGGTAGGGTACGGAGGCTAGTTGGGCAAGGCTGTGATTTGCAAAGCACAACATCACACCCGGAAAGGTGAAATATTATCCTGCCTATAATTTCATTCGTAACTGCATTGAGAAACATTGCTGAAATAAATGCCTGCAAATATATTACAATGAAAGCCCTCTGCTTCAACTCTTCAGTCCAGCAAACTAATTCCATCAGCCTCATCCCGTGGAACACACAGAAAAACAGAGTATTTTACTTTCTACTGGCAGTTGCTACAATCTATGCCATGTCCCGCAAATTGTTGATATAGGTGGATTCAAACTGAAATCCACAAAAGCAATCTGTGAAGACAGAGGATCTTAGCATCATTCTGAAATTCTTCTAGACATTCAAGTGGATAAATATAAAACAAGTCCAAGAATGAGGATTAAGTGCAGTATAAAAACATGGTTAAAGAAAAAAAAAAACACATTGCACATTTCTAGTACATTACTTCTCCCTAGTCATTTGTAAACCACACCAATAAATAAAGCCACTGAGTTTTCAGTAATGGACACTTAAATAGTCACAATACATAGGTAGGAAAAAAAGTACAGTAGTGCAAAAAAAATAAATTACTAAAACAGAAAGGCGGCCGAACGTTATTTTATACAACACTGACAAGAAATCCTGAACCACTTGGAATGAGACCTCAAGTCAGTTAAATAATGCAGCAACATCAGCGGTTTTGCTTCCCATTTCGACCACACAGTTGTTCATCTGGGAAAGAAAGAAAAACTAAAGCAAAACCACTTGAAACGGTCCAAGAATTTTATGGGGTTGGGGGAACTCGTTTTAAAAAACTTTTTTTCTTCTGGGCTTCATAAATACTTAGGGCTGTTCAAGTACAGCAGCGTGGCCTACAGACATTGGGAGCCAAACGCAGGTCACATTCTTTTGGTCTTTCTAGTCAGCTTCTCCCTGTGCGCCACAATAATATCTTGTTTGATATTCCCTTCTGCAAAGATGTTGTTGCAGTTATATGCATTTACAAGAAGACTGCCCTGGGGTGGGAGGTGGGACAGTAGAGGAGGGTGAGTGCTCCTCTTCAGCAATCCACTCACTCTTCCTAGTTTTGATTTCGAGATATGAAGGTCAGGATTCGACGAATACCATTCAGCCTATCCTTTAAGGACCTCATGGCCAGGAATGGGAGCTGAGCACGGTTTTCCAGTGGCAGAACTGCTAGTATCCACCAACACCAGGCTGGACCATTGGGATTAGACTGCAAGAAAGAAATATAATGAGTTTATTCAATGATCACCAAATAGCCTCATGGAATCTGTTCCCTAATGGGTTGATGGGATATTCTCAAGGAACCAGTCTGCAGATTTCCAAAGCATCGAGGTAAAGATCCAAGATGGAACTGCTTTGGTCTGTGGCAGACACAGCTAACTGCCCCCTCCATATCTGTTTCCCCATTATTTCAGCCACCCAGAATAAAGATTCTATTTCCCAGAAACCTTTGCTGTTAAATGAGGCTGTAAGATAAAGTTCTGGCTGATGATATGTGTAACTTCTGGATGATGTTCTAGGAAACGAGCATGTATTCTCCACTTTCCTTATCTTTCCCCTCAGCTAGGGAGCTCTTGTGACCCAGTGGTAAGAAGCTGTGTTGCAAACTACAGGCAAGTGGTTCAAACCCACCAGCTGCTCTTTGGGAGAAAGCTGGACAGTCTCCTCCTGTGTGATTTACAGCTTCTGAAAACACACTTGCAGGGTCAGCTATGAGTCTGTTCCAATTTGATGACACATAACAACAGCGGAACATAGGCACGGTAATGGCCAGTCTTCATCAATCAAGATGAGAGCAACCTTCTAGGGTTGATTAAGAGCTTTGTGGGAAAGGAGTCTAGGCCCTTAAATGAGCTCATGGAGTAGAGTTCCCTTGCCCTTCTAGAGGGAACCTGGATAGCACAATAGTTAAGCACTCCCATACAAGGAAACTCTATGGGCAAGTGTGACTGTGTTGCTGCGAGTCAGAATCAACTTGATGGCCAATGACCAAGGCCCTCTAGGACCTGGGTCTTCTATCCATGTTTAAGGGAGCACTCATGCCTTAGCAGTAAGGAGTTGTGTTGCCAATTCAAAGGTAGACAGTTCAAATCCACTAGATGCTCCATGGAAGAAAGATGGTCAGTCTCCTTCCACGCAATTTACAGCCTCTGAAAACCCACTAGAAGATCGGCTATGACTCAGTTCTGACTCAACTGTCCATGAAAATAACAATGACAAATCTACCTTTAAGCTACTGTTAATTTTGGTACTTGTGAAAGCAGACAAATAATTATCCTAGCAGCACACCATGCCTCCCAGCAGTGTGAGTAATGTTATAGGAGCTGAAATGTCCACTACTCTGTCTCTTTCACCTCTATGACTGCTCAGATCTCTCTGCCTGTGGTTTTTGGAAGGTTGGCTTTAAAACAACAGAGACGACTATATTCTTCTCAAGCCACCAACATTTGAGATTTTCCTGATCCCAAATCAGTTAATCTGATCCTCCCCAAATCCAAGACTTCTCTGTTTTTCTTCTTTAAATTTTATTTTGTTCATTTTAATGAACGTTTACAGAGATTTTGTATTTCCATTCATTCATTGTTGCATATTTCTCCCTGCCCACCCCTTCCCCCAGCTCGCTATTCTCTTTGAAAAGCAAAAGAAAAATTCCTTCATTGGTATATAATCCCCCACTCCCTGGCCCCGAGTACACTCCACTATGCAACCTTCATTCTGGACTCTTGTCATAACCATTATACCCAATCATATATTGCTTTTAAACTATTCTCTCCTTCATCTGTTTCAATGCAGTATACATGATTTATCCAATTTTTTTCAATCTCACCCCAACCCTGATGTCAGTCCTGTTCTACAATAGTTGCTCCATGCAGTATTTGTCCTTTTGTGACTGAGATATTTACTTTGAGCTCCACTGGGATGCTTGTTGTCCCTTACTGCAGTTTATACCATGGTCTCCCTCCTATTAATATCTCTGAACACTACAACTTTCTCTTCACATGATCATTAACAAAGATATTTAAGCAGCTGTCAGTATTTGGTGCTGTTTCTAATAAATCATCTCCCCAGGCTTAGAACATTTTTATCAGTGGGATTACTGTGGCTTTGCTATTGACTGGAACAGAGTGGATGGTACATTTTTGTTGTTATTGTTGCTGTTGCTGCTGGTGCCAAAGCAACAAAATAATAGCTTTGATAAAAAATAAAAAGAAACTCAAGATTTCATATTTCTGTGTCATTGAGCCCCTATGACTCATGCGGTGGCATCTGTGTTTCCTCCTCTGGAAGATGCTGTAATCATTGTTAATCTGGATCCTCTGCGACTCGGGGAGAATGCTTCCCAGAAGGTGAAGGGGAACATTAAGCGTGCTCAGAGCTGTGCTGTAGTCCTGAGTCACTGTGGCCCAGAGCCAGAAGTTGGGTCACTAGGAAGCACTGACTTTTCTCCCTGCCTTTGCATTGGGGTGGGGAGAGAGCCATATGTTTGGTCTGGAGAAAGCTGGCCACTTCAGACCATCAGGGAACAGGTGGGAATTTCTTTTTTTAGTCTGAGGCTGCAAGCAGTAGAGGGGACCTGAGAGACTTTCTCATCCATCCCCCAACCCTCTATTTCAGACCTAAGGGAAAAGCTGAGGAAAGGAATGGATCACCAGATCACCAAGCTAGAGGGACAAGCAGGACTTGTCTCTCAGCAGATCAAATTGCTCTATTGTGAAAGAGTTGGGAATTGAGGGGAAAGAACGGATTAGGAATGTTCCAGTGATAATCCTGTAGGAGAGCCATCTTGGAATATGGGGAAAGGGGATGGTGGGGAAAGATTGATTAGGATGTCTCCATCTGGGTCCCAGAATGTACTCCCTGCAGTAGAATTCCCTTCAAGTATTTGGTGTTTTATACCAGGTAAGCAAAAATTGGTGAAACTTAACCTACTTTCCTGGAGAGTCTCTGTGGCTTGATCTGCAAAATGGCCCTGTCTCCCCAGGAAATAGTTCTAATAGAGCCTAATGACCTGCTTTCTAGAGTAACTCAGGAAATGGTGAATTTAGAGATTGAGTCCACTTTCTCTGTACTGAGTAACTAGACTGAAAAGAAAATCTAATTTGTCATCAATTTCATTTTACTTGGATCCACAATCAACATCCATGGAGGAAGCAGTCAAGAGATTAAAAGGCTCCAGCACCAATAGCAAAGGTAGCAAACAACAAATTGTACTGAGGTTGTGGGAGACTGAAAATCTTATTTACTGCTGGCGGTATGACACTTTATGAAAATTTTATGAAAACGTTGGAAATAGAAATATCATTTGACCTAGAAATTCTACTACTTGGAATATACCCTAAAGAAACCAGAGCCACAATTCAAACAGATGTATGCACACCCATGTTTATTGCTGCATTAGTCACAATAGCAAAGAGAGAGAAGCAACCTAAGTGCCCATCAACAAATGAATGGATAGACACAATGGAATATTATGCAGCATTGAACTCATGAAACATTATACAACATGGTTGACCCTCAGGGACTTCATGTTGAGTGAAATATTTCAGTCACAAAAAGGCATATACTGCATAATACCACTGCTATAAAATAGGATAGACATGGGGTGGTGGGGAGAGAATGAGAAAAGAGTGGGTAGATAATAAGCACTGCACTGGAACAGATGAGGGAAAGAACTGTCTGGAGGTATGATTAGGTATTATATGCATGACAGCAATCTGGAACAAGGTGGGGGCATTGTGGAGTGGGCTGGGGGAAATGGAGAGAAGAGAGGAAGAAAATGTGTAACAATGAATAAATTTTTTTTTAAAAGAAAAAACTTTAAAAAAGAGATCAAAAGACATGAGTTTGGAAACCCTGCTATCAAGGACCTCTTCAAAGTGCTAAAGAGCAGGGATGTCAGCTTAAAGACTAAGGTACACCTGGTCCAAGCCATGGGCATTTCAGTTGTTTCCTATGTATGTGAAAGCTGGACAATAGGTAGGGCTGGCTGAAAAATAACTGATGCCTTTGAGTTGTACTGTTGGCGAAGAGTACTGAATATTCCATGAATTGCCAAAAGGACAAACAAATGTGTCTTGGAGGAAGCGCAAGCACGTTACTCCTTGGAGGCAAGACGGTGACACTTCATCTCACATGTTGTCAGGAGAGGCCAAGCCTTAGAAAAGGGCATCTTTCTGGGGAAGGTGGAGGGTCAGAGAAAGAGAGGAAGACCTTCAACAAGATAAAGTAACAATGGACTTGAGCATATCAGAGATGATGAAGATGGCAGAAGATAGGGCAAGATTCAGATACGTTGGTCATAGGGTTGCTGTGAGTCATAGTTTATTGTGAGGAGTAGCAGATGCAATGGTACCTAACAACAACAAGAGTCTAGACCTGTAGGGCTATGATAGATGTGTCTAGGCATGAAATAACAATGACACTTGCTCATATACACTAGCCATGTGACCTCATAAGGTAGTTGGCCCTACCTCTTAGCCCCTGCAGCAATATGGGAGAAAATGGTGACATTTTCTGGAAGTCCAGACTCAGCTTTCATGACAACCCTTCTCTTAAACTCTCGCCTTTGCATGTATCTTGCCACTAAATTTAACCTATTACCAAGGTTCAGGCCTGAACTCTCATTTAAATTTCTTCTATCAGTGGTGTCTGTGCTCCCGTTCTCTCACATGACTTCTTGAATTCAAATGCCTACTGCTTTGATCCTACCTATAATGCCCACTGCCCAGTGATATGTAATAATATCAAGTGGGATTAATCTTTCCTACTAACTTTGCTTTACTGGACAGCAAGCATTCAGCTATCTATCCACAAACCCTAGGCACACTCCCATCTAGAGGAGCAATCCCTTGTAAAAAGGAATTTCTACATACCTGGGGATCAGCATCTTTCTCTGGCATTGGTCCAAAGTGATGGAGTATCCGATTCTTCAGGAATAATTTGAGTGAATGAAACCACACTGATGCCTGCTCATACACACAATTATGTAATGTCATCAGCTCAGCATACTCTTCTCCCTGAACCTGGAATTATCAACGTGGAAGTCAAGCATCTGCCCCTTTGCCATCGCTCCAAGACCACTCTTTGGCATTTGACCCTCTCTGAGTATCTAGCCTGTCTCCTTACGGGAAGGGCCCCGCATTCATTCTCCTCTTAATACTGTGTAGTAAGTATTTCCGGAGGAAGTATTGGATGAAGGGAAAAGGTTCAGCTGGGTCAAACAGCTGAGACAGTAAGACCTAACAGAAAACGAGGATGTCCAACTAGCCTGAAATGAGGAATGCTAATAAAATATTAGATGCTGGTGTATGCCTCTGCCCTTTTCATTTTTTATCTGTTTCCCCATTGCTCACTTGGAAAAAAGATATGAATGTGTCTGCGTCCCAGTGTGTATCTATCTTTCAAGCCTTAATATGTGTATTCACTATTCAAATATTTATTAATCTTGTTCTCTGCAGTGAATGCAAATAGAAACGAACACAGGATCATCTACCTCTTCTTCCATTCATTAGCTCAGGCAAAACCAAAGATTAGCTGGACATGTAGCCCTTCTACTTTGTGGGATGATGTATTATAGGAAAGGGCTCTTGGCCAGCTCCACATTTGAAAACACAGGCCTATATAAATCTATCTCAGGTACCTTCAAATAAATGTTACATAAATAAATAAATAAATACACAGATCTATTCCATGGTATCCTTGGCAGTGCCCTAAACCCTGGACTAAATGGGCCATAGGGTTGGCCTAGGGTAGCATTTCTTACACATGAAAGCAACCCAGCAGATTAGCAAGGAGAGCCAGGACAATGGGGCCCACAACCAATCTACAATCGAACGGCCATCCAGCAGCATTTAATGTCGCCACAACAATTTAGTGAGTTACCCCAAGGCTCCCCGCAGTTCTGAGAGAGTCTTGGGCAACCATCTATATGTCAAGTCACACAGCGATCCTGGCTCTGAGATTTTGGCACGATGGCCCGCTTACCTTTTGGTCTTCAATGTATTCAATGTCAGCCGTGTTGTAACCATCCCGATGGCCCTGGCAGAGCACCTTGAAGCGCCTCTTGCCTATGCTGTCAATCACTGAGCGGCCATCCGAAAAGAACTGGACATTTCTAATCTCTAGGATGCAGCCATACTCCGCAAACCTAGTGATTTGAGAGTAGTGGTTTGAGTGATATGTTCTGCTTCCCAAGCTTTACCCCCAGCCAAATGGCACACCTCAGCCTAGAATGTGCCTCGAGGGACTTCTGACTATTGTCCCAAGGTCTACAGCTATGATTACAACAGGCAGTGATGCCTGTATCAAAGACAAAGCCAAAAAGCCTTATTGTATGATAACTCCACACAAAGGCGTCGGGTCGTAGCTGACTCTCCAGTGGGCTTTCTGCAGTTGTACACTGCCTGGGAGGAGACTGTCCATCTTTCTCCCTCGACACCGCGGGTGCATTCAAGCTTCCAGGGTGGCTCCGCCTTTGGGTTAGTAGCACTACTTCCTATGAACTGCGCCACTAGAGCCCCTTTAATGTATGACGGCTACCATTTATTGAGCACATGCTATGTGCCAGAGACTGTGCTTTAGAGCTTTGTTAGCACTAATCCTCCCTATCCGATAAGGTGGTTGTTGCTGGAGCCCATGGTTACAGTCATTGTATTGACCCCTTCACCCAACCTCCTTTTATCCGCTTAGCTCCTCACTTACCCTTTAACAGGATCTCCAAGGCACATACCAAACTGTCTGGTACCTGTCTCGATGCATCTACGAATCATCAGACGGTAGCAAGGCTCAAAGATGTGCAAGGGACAAGGAACGGTGGGGTAGGCCATGGTACACACAAAAATAGGCACGTTCTTAGTTAAGCTGTCAGGAAAAGCAAAACACGTGAGCGGTGGGGCAGAAACAGAAAGGCTGGGCAAACATCACCTGTGGTACCCCAGCGATGAATCAAGGAGACATCGAGTCTTGATAGCTAATAGAAGAAATATGAACATGCAACTGATCACCCGGGACAGCTTCCTTGCTCTGGTTCAGTGGTTAGCCTAAGGACTAGGGCTTTAAAACTGACATGTGATTCCTATCCATTCTGAATTGGCTGAAGCTGTTCTCTAATGTCAAATTACTCTATCTCCATTTCACAAAATTTTTCCTCCCTCTTTCATTCTTGCTCTCCACGCAAAGTGATCTATCCAAGTTGTTTTGTGTATGGAAAGGGGCAGACTGGGACTCAGCTCTCAGAAGGGATGTTGGAGAATTCTCTGCAAGGTCCCCATAAGAACCACAAATTTTCAAAGCTCCCACAGAATCTGCACAGAAGGCCAGCTCGGTGGTGGTGGGGGGAGGAGGTGCAAGATGTGAGAGTAACACAGGCCAGTGATGCGCAAACATGTCTGTATGTCCCAGAAATGCTTATGTACAGGTGCCTGGACTAATGAGATTCCACAGATATCCAAGAATCTGCATTTCAACAGTGTCTTAGGACATTCAGACACACAGCCTCCATGGGAGAGCCACTGACTGGGCCAATTTCTCCACCCTCAGGGTCCTCTCATTTGTCTGGCAAATCTAATACAAGACCCTTTAAATGGAAACCAATAATAGCTAAGAGACCAACTGGTCAACTCTCAAAAGGATTGAGTTTAGGATTCCTTTAAGTAGATAGCCCTAGGGAGTTCTGGTGGCCTAGTGGCTAAGGCATGACACTGCCAATCCAAGAGCAGGAAGTTCAAATCCACCAGTTAAGCCTATCAAGTTTGTCATGAGGATTGATGAGTTCATGCTCATAAAGCTCCATAGTTCCACAAGAGAATGATGGGCAGTCTCCCTCTCATGCAATTTACTGCCTCCACAAACCTGCTGCAGGGTCAGCTATGAGCAAGTTTTACCTTTGTACAGGCTCTTACTTTCACAGAGAGTATCAACTTAAATGACACCCCCTTTAGGTATTTGATGCTGTAAACTGCATGGAATGGTCCATGCATGGATGGTCCATATTCCCCCCATGGAGCCACTGGTGGATTTGACCAATAGAAACGCATGGCCTTTGGATTCAGAACGCAACTCTCTGTGGGCTGACTACAGCACCAGAGCACCCTGATTATAGGCTAGTGCTTGTTAAGAAGACATTAAATAATATTGAGAAGAGTCCTTACAGAAACACAGGCTCATTACATAATCAGAAGGAAAGGCAAAGATGCCTCAAGTGGTTCTAACATAAGTTCATGCAACACAAGAGGACTTCATTTTCTGGCTTTTCAGGAAAACATTTTATTCTGATGTCTTTGAACTGCTGGGAGGGTTTAGGAATGTTCTCTACTGCTTGTGTATACACGACTAGAACAGCTTTTGCCAGCAGGCGCCTCGCCCCCAGAATCCTGTGAGGAGTTCCACTCCACTGGGGCTGGGGCAAGCAAATAAAGGGATGCAGTAGGAGAGGTACAGAGTGCTGTCTCCTGCCTTGTTAGCTGAGCGAGTGCTACTCCAGCCGCACAGAGGACTCATTTATCACCATATCTCTACCTGTCATGTCACACATGCAAGGCTTACTGTGCACTGCCTTGGATGATCTTCCCAACAGGTCCACATCGTTGTTGTTTTGTACATGGTGTTTTCATAGGCAGTAAATTGCATGGGGGGAGATTATCCATCTTTCTCCCATGGAGCTGCTGGTGAATTTGAACCATGTGCCTTTGGGTTGGCTATACAGCTCCTTACCCACTCGGCTACCAGGGCTCCCGAACAAATACATAAGGTGATCCTTACAACTATGCTTACATGGAAACTGCGGCTCAGAGAAATTAAGTGACCTGCCTAGTTTCATGAAGTAAATGGGAAAACCAGGTCTTAAAGCCTCGGCCTGCCTGATACCAGGTGAGCACTGGTGGCACATTCCATATGGAATTGCGCTGCTATCCTAAATGTGGCACCTCTCTGGTGATTAGAATCCACCAGTGACAATGTGGAAAAAAAGATAGGCAATCCCCGCCAGTGATATTTACAGCCTTGGAAAGTCCAACGGAGGGAGAGTTATGAGTAATTTGCAACTCAATGGCCATGATTTGTTGTTGTGATTGATATCAGAGATTTTTTAACTGTTTTTAACCCCATCTATTTGAAGACCATCCCTGCATACATCTGAAGCTTGGGTTTCCCTGATTAAATTTTTGTCCAATTTATTGCAGCCAGTGACACGCTGTTATTAGTGCCAATCTGGGTGCTGGCCAGTGATCCAACTTAGGCTTCTTCAGTGGTATGGTGATAAGTTTTTAACAACTAACTCTTTGAGAGAAATAAGCCCTGTAGCACTTCTAAATGTTTGTAGCATTTGTTAATTTCTACGGTGTACATAGCCAAAACATGGTCAATTTCACGCTATTAACATGGCATCACTGAATAAGGAAAGGGGTGGGAGAAGTACATACATTCATCCAGCTTTCATGAACTGGTATGAGTGAAACTAAAACTAAAACCACACATATATACATACATATGTCTATTCATATAAACATACCTAGAAAGTTCTTCCATTTCTTCTTCATAAAGCCTCTTTCGTTCACGGAGTTCTTCTGGAAGGAATTTAGCGATAAGCTCTTCCATGATTATAGTCTTGTTGTATTTTCTTGGTGACATGCACTGTACGAAGAACAGGCATTTGGTTATTATTCAGCCACTGGAAAAACAAATCACTTCTGATAGAATCAGAAAAATCAAATGGTCTTTTCGAGTAACTTGGACTGAAATTATCAGCTGCTGTAAGAATGTGTGTATTCTCTGAATGTTTGAGTTCAGGCTTATTTTTAAAAAAAAAAAACAACAAACACCTCTTGCAATGACTTTCTTTAAGAATTGGAAAGAAACAGTTTAACAAGAAGGGAAGAGGCATTGATGGTTTAAGAATCTAATAGCCATCTTGAAATAGTGAAATAGTGCAATCATCAGATTATTGTCCAGTAAGTAAATACTATCTTTTTCTTCTTTCTGGTTAGTGTTTATTGGTTAAGAGAAATGGTCTCTGAGATATACTAGAAGTCAGTGATTACCAGGTTCAGGGAACTAGAAAGCAATTTTGATCACTGCTCCTTTCCTGCCCTGCCCCTACCGTCACCCTATTCCCAATGCTTAGCTTTTGGATACATGTTTTGTTCTCTGTCTTTAGTTAAAACAAAGAAAGCAAACAAACAGCTTAAAAAGGGGTGGTCTTCATTGCTTGTTTGTATCTACTTGCTTCTTAAATACACCTTATAGTTATCACTGAAATGATATATAAACCCTGTGTATACAGGAATCTGTAAATTGTGGGTATTTAACAGTGTGGACCACTAGACTGGGGGAGTGAGTTTAAGAAACAGAGGTCAATCGCTCACAATGAAGATGGTCTCTACAGACTCAGCAGGGGGAGCTCCTGAGTAGAAATCTGCTTAGCTTCAGCTAATATTTTTCCATTCCCAATATGGGCTGTGTCTGCCTATTCTGCAATGAACGTGACTGGAATAAGATTTTTTCTCTCTCTCTGTCAAATGCTGTGTGGCCCTGTGTGTACAGAAACAGACAAGCCTATCTTTAAGTCAGAGGACAGGAGTCCACACCGTCTACCATCAAGATGCTTTAACAGTCACTACCATACTTGGAAGGAAGAAGCACCTGCTTTGACCACTGTCCTAGTCATTGGAGGGAAACTGATTCAGGGGGTAGCCAGTCTGAGAAAGGGAGGGGGCAACAGATCTCTCAACAGAAAAACCAAGGAACCAAAACTGCTGTTGAGTTTATTTCAACTCGGTGAACCTATAGGACAGGGTAGAACTTCCCCAAGGGGTTTCCAAGGTTGCTAAGTCTTAACAGAGTGAGCCCTGGGGGCACAGTCCACAGAACTGCTAACCCAAAGGCTGTACATTTCCAGTGGTTTGGATCCACCAGTACTCCTGGGGAGAGATGGGCAGGCTCCTCCCATTGCCATTTACAGCCTCTGCCATGAGTTAGAATTTGAATAAAGTCTTTATGGAATCAGACTGCCACATCTTTCCCCCTGGAAACTGATGAGTTCAAACCAAGACCTTCTGGTGAGCAGCCAAGCATTTTAACCATTGTGCCATGAGGGCTCCTACTTAGTGGGATACAACCAAACCCAACCCAACCCAACCCAACCAAACCCATAGCCTTCAATTCAATTCACAGAGCTGCCCTACAGGAGCTTTCTCTCCCCATAGTGGCTGGTGCGTTTGAACTGCCAACCTTTTGGTTAACAGCTGAGTGCTTTCACCATGTTCCCAGGTTTCTCAAACCTAGGAAAGGTGGAAAGGCGTATGCTAAAATGTTAATAGTTTTTCTCTAGGTGATGAACATATGGCTTGATTTTCCTTCTTTCTGCTTCTCTGAACGCACTGTGCAAAGGGAGCTCTCATGGCCTAGTGTTTAGGGAGCTGTGCTCCTAAATCCTCTGACTAGCTACCACTTTGTTTCCAACCTGAGTTTAGGCGTGACCCTCTGCTGAGAATTTTGCACTCCCACCCCAGGTATACAGAATCAGAATGGGCATTTTAAACTAGATTCCCCAGTTTATTCTCATGTCGAATCTTAGTAGGTGACCCAGTGATAAGGAGTTCCACTGCCAACCCACAAGCAGGTGGCTTGAATCCATCAGTTGCTCTCGGGGAGAAAGACGGGCAGTCTCTTTCTGTGCAACTTGCAGCTTCTGAAAACTTACTGGAGAGGGAGCTATCAGGTAGTTAGTAATTGACAGCATGCAACCAAAGCAACATCCTTAATAGCTAATTCCAAATGAATGAACTCAGTCAAGAAGGAAATACTGTTTTACCTGTAAAAGGCCATCTTTGCACAATGGACACTTTGAGTTGTGATCAAGGCATCTCTCAAGGCATTTTAAGCAAAAGGTGTGTCCACAAGGTGTTGTAACTGGCTCATAGAACAATCTGAAATTTAGGAATCAAAAGGGAAGAATATGGCAATAAGACAAAAAAGAAGAAACAGCTACTCCGTGTTAAGTTCTGGCAGCATTGTTTGGAAACGGGTTGTGTGTCTCTTTTCTTGTTATTACTGTTGTTCTTATACTTCAGGAAAGCATTTGCCTTTTCTTTCTGAGCTGGATTTAAAATAATACATTTACTAATGCTGAGGGTGTAGTTAAATGGCTTTTGTAACACTAATTTTAGTCAAACTCTTTTGGAACATCCAAAGTGTTCCCCCCGCCCCCCCTCCACCACTGTCTGACCTGAAAAAAAAAGAATAAGAAAAAAGAAATCAACATATTTCCAATATGTCTGCAAAGACTCCATCCTACAAATATGTAAACAACCTGCTCATCTGAGTATATGTAAATACACACATAAACCAGCACTTCAAACACTGGTTCAGTCATGGTTGGTGCAGCGAGATCAGAACAAAAGTTTTAAAATTTGGATCACATAGCACCAGAACCAGAGTCAAACAATGGGTCAAAGTTCTTGAGTGGGAGATTCAGAAGAGGCTTAGTGAATCCCTTCAGAAGCCTGATGTGGGAGACTGGATTACTGGTAAGACTGTAGAGAGCAGCACACATTCAAAGTGGCCATATTAGGCTTCAATCTTTGAGCAAGGCACCACTGCTTCCAACTCTGTTCAAAATACAAAAGGCAAGAAATATGGTTGTTATATAATGTATATGATGCCCTTTGTTTCCTTTCTCCTCCCCCCTTTGTTTTCTAGCAGTGCTTCAACCTGCAATTTTTTCCATCTTGGCTATCATTCCAGAGCCTCAAATTTAAAAATCAGGATCTATTCTGATTTCACTTCTTTGGCTATTATGAATCACAGGCAAGTCAACAACACATAACAACAAACTTGAAAGAACTGGTTCAAAGCACATATACACACAAACACATACTCTCACACAAACACTCTCTCTCTCTCTCTTTCTCTCTCTCTCTCTCTCTCTCTCTCTCACACACACACACACACACACACATATACACACACATACTCACTCATTGAAGCACTTCACATATTAACACAGGGAGATTTATTTACTAGCTTTAATTTACCTAAGCAACATTTACTACCTAAAGAATCTCTAATTTGCACCTATAAGAAACACATAGGGTGCAAACTTGCACTTATAACAAATACAAACGTTCTTTCACATGGATGGATAATTTTCCTAGAGACAAAAGAGTAATATCTTTAATGTGCTCCTGAAACTCTCCTCTCTCTCTCTCTCTCTCTCTCTCTCTCTCTCTCTCTCACACACACACACACACACACACACACATATACTAAAGACTATATTGCTTTGAGGGAACTGGATATTTTAAAAGCAACCTGGAGATTCTTTTAAAAAGCTATTTTATACATTCAGAAGGATACTGTAGTGGCTTAGTGGTAAGGAGCTGTATTGCCACCTCAAAGGTATGCATTTCAAATCTACCAGCTGCTCCATAGGAGGATGGGCAATCTCCTCCCATGCAATTTCCTGCCTCTGAAAACCCACTAGAGGGTCAGCTATGAGTCAATTCTGACTCGATGTACATAAAAAAAAAAACCCAATACATTCAGAGGGAGCTCTGGTGGCTTAGTGGGTAAGGAGCTGCATTGCCAACCCAAAGGCAGGTGGTTTGACTCCACCAGCTGCTGTGAAAAAGACGGGCACTCTCCTCCCATGCTGTTTACAGCCTCTGAAAACCTGCTGGAGGGTCTATTCTGACTTGACAGCACACAACAACATATATTCAGAGATTTGTGGAGTTACATTGCTTAAAGAAAAGCTTGCTAGCAGCAAGACCAGTAGGTGAGAGTAGCTGAAAATTATAAAAGTGGGGCTTGAACTTGCATATGAGTAGTTGGTGGTCTGTTCCACAATCAGCACCTGGCCAGAGCCACAACTAGAGATTCAGGCTCACTGGTCTGGGTTAAGATCCAAGCAGCAGGATATTTAGGTTTTTTTTTTAAGGCCCTTCTGGTGATTTGAATGTGTGGTCAGGATCCCACTATACACCAACCTTCTGAATTGGCTTCCAAATCTAATTCTCAGAATCACCTGTGGACAATGAAATACGACGCAGCACTCAGGAGCAATGACTTAAAAAAAATACTATCTAACTTGGGAGAGACTGGAGAGCATTATGATGAGTGAACTAACTCAGTCTCATAAGGACATACACTACTTAAGACCATTACTGTAAAAATAAAAGCATAACTAGTAAAACATGTATAGGTACTCAAGGGGGGAATGAGTGGGAGCAGACGGGTGAGGATGGGTGGGGCAAAACCTCAGGTTTGCACAATTTGGTGGGTGGGAAGAGGGGTGAAGGAAATGGGAAGGACGCAGTGAGGTTCTGAAAAAACAGGGTAATAATGGGCAAGGTCCAATGGTGATTAATTTGATAATACATAATGCATGAAAATGATTGTATAAAACACAATATGGATGAAGATATTATGTATATGAACTTTGTAAACAAATGAATATAAAATTTAAAAAATTCAACACCTGTGGAGATTCCAAGGTGTATGGTGAGCACACACACACATGCACACACATCTACATACGTAATCATCAGGCTCCACTGTTTGAAGTTTGTGATTCAGTATTTCCAGAGAAGTGGAGCTCTGGTGGCCTAGTGGTAAGGAGCTGTGCCACCAATGCAAAGGCATAGGATTTGAATTCATCAGTTCCTTCATGGGATAAAGATGGGCAGTCGCCTCTTGTGTCATTTACAGCCTCTAAAAACCTGCTAGAGGGTCAGCTATGGGTTGGTTCCTAGTTAATGGTATATGCCAACAAAAATTCAAAGAAAGGAGCAGAAATTTTATCCTTTTAACAAGCCAATGATGGTTTGACCTTGTGCTTTAAAAATTTTTGCCTGTTTTAGCAAGGAGTTGGAAACAACCTAAGTGCCCATCAACAAATGAATGGATAGAGAAGCTGTAGTATATTCACACAATGGAATACTACACTGTATTGAAAAACAAGGAACTCATGCAATATTATACAAAATGGGCGACCCTGGAGGACATTATACTGAGTGAAATATCTCAGTCACAGAAGGACAAATACTGCATAGTGCCACTATTGTAAAACAGGACTGACATTGGGGTTGAAAAGAGACTGAGAAAGATGGGATAAATTATGTATACTACATTGAAACAGATGAGGGAGAGAACTTTTGAAAAGGGATATGTGATTAGGTATTTTTGTCATGACGAGAGTCCAGAGCAAAGGCTGCATAGTGGAGTGGATTTGGGGTGAAGGACTGTATAACAATGAAAGAGTTTTTATTTTACTTTTCAAAGAGAAGAGCGAACTGGGGGGAAGGGGTTGGCAGGGAGCAAAGTGCAATAATGAATGAATGAAAATTTAAAAAAGGAAAAAAATCTATGCAAAAGAGAAGCTTGTAGAGGTGAACCTGACATTCTTGATGATATTTAAATAATTAAATTTTTTATTAATTTGTTATATAGCAATAGATATCTGTTGCTATTAGATGCTATTGAGTAAATCTCTACTGAGAATGGAAATTTGTTCCTTACCTACCAGGGCCATGAGGCCTCTTGTTTTACTACTATTGTTGTTGTTGTTAGGTGTCATCAAGTCAACTGTGTCTCGTATCAACTCTAAGAAAACCAGACCCAAAGATTTGAAACTTGCACTACCCTGCATCATGATATGATTGAGCCCATTGTTATAGTCACTGTCAATCCACCTTATTGGGGAGCTTCCTCTCTTTTTCTGACCCTCAACCTTTCCCAGTGTCTTACTACTAAATATTTGTAAGTCGAAATAAATATATTTGCTATGAAAACAATTTTATGCCTGTTTTAAAAGCAGTTCTACTATTCAAACAAAATTAAAACACTTTCATTATTACATTCCCAAAAAGTAATAATAATTTTCCAGGAAAATTGGGGGGGTCTAACCAGCATGCTCAGGCAAGAAGAAAAACCTCGTAGTATGAAAACTGGAAAGAAACCAAAAATCTGGCATTTTTCACAAAGGATAATTAGAAAATCTAAAACAATCCACAGAACTATTTTGCTTAGAATGAACAATAACAAATAAAATTAGCAACGTTGCTAGATAAATAAATAAACATACACGACTGTAATTCTACACAACAGCAATAAACTTTAGAGACCACAAAATTTTCAAGATGATATTGAGAGTTGCTTTAAACAATCAAGCATCCAGGAAGAAAAGTAACAAAAGTTGTGCAAGACTTCTATTATTGTGCCTCGAAACACAGAGCAAGAACAATAGTTAAACAAGAAACCATTATAAACACCTCACTGAAAAAGACCTAAAGAAGTCCCAAGAGAATATCCTAACCAGCTATTTCCTTTCTTTGTTTCTGGGAAAATTGATAAGTTGATTCCAAACTTTACATGGAAAAATAAACAGCCAAGAACAGCCAAGACACTTACAAAGAGCAACAGTGTGGAAGGACCTGCTCTATCAGACATCAGAACTGATTATGGGAAAAGTAGTAATTAAAACAAGTATAAAACTTGTGTAAAGACAGATAACTGTTGTTGTTAGGTGCCCTGGAGTCAAGTATGACTGAGAGCAACCCTATGAACAACAGATCTGATCCATGTTCTTATCTTGCTCCATCCTCACACTTCCTGACACACATGAGCCCATTGCTGCAGTCACTGTGTTAATCCACTTGGTCGAAAGTCTTCCTCTCCTTCACCATCCCTCTATTTTTTTTAAGATGTCCCTCTTCAAAGAATAGCCTCTCCTTGAAATATGTCCAAAGTATGTGAGATGAAGCGTTATCACAGTTGCCTCCAAGAAGTACTCTGGCTGTTATCTTCTCCAAGACTAGGAAAGCCTAGAAATCAACCCAGACACAGATTCTTGCTTTATGACACAAGTGGCCACTTCAAAACAGTGAGGGAAAGGATAATTGTTCCAATAATGTTGTTAGGACACAGA